TGCTCAGGAGGGAAAAAAACACACAGACATGTCCCAGGAAAATATGGAAAGATATGGGAATTGGGGTTGGGGGGGAGACAGAAACCCAGAAAATATAAGAAAATATTGGGAATAATTTTATTTGTGTGTATTTACGTGTGTGTCCCAGGGCCCCTTCACATGCACCATCCGCCCAGTTTTGAGTCGGGCATGTCCCTCTACAGGAAGAGTATTCAATGATCGTAGAAGGTAGTCTGGTGACGAGCGTTGTTCTTCTTGGACAATGCTTGATTTATTGTTCTTCCAAAGTCCGCCTGTAGGAGGAGATGCCCGACCTGAGCCCAGCGAGGCGGACTTCGAGGTTTCAGAGCCCCCCCCCCTCCCTCCCCAGCGAGGCCCACATCGGTAGAGTCATGTTTGGAGGGCGCGATGCCAGTACTGGTCCTCATCCCCAGGGTCCTGGATGATCTCTTGGTGGCTCCGAGACGGAGGAAGATGCCGCCCGGAAGACCTCGAGACTCACGCGGCAGGTGCCATCTTTAGGGACATGCGCGTTTCTTTGTGCCAATTGGCCGAGAACTACGAACTGCCTGCCGTGCCATGGAAAGCTCAAGGAGGTGGACCTTTACAGCGCCAGTCGCCCAGGAAACAGAGACGCCATGCCCAGGCTGGGTTTAAGTCGGGCGTGCCCCTCCAAAAATAGCCCGGGACGATTGTTCGTTCCTTTTTGAGCACTTTGGATTTTTTGGGGTGAAGTTTATATTCTTCTTCCAAAACCCGCCTGTAGGGGGACATGCCCGACCTGAGGCTGGGGCCATGGGCGAGTGGGTCCCTCTGGAGAGTGGCACCCCAGAAGTGAGAGACGGCACCTCTCCAGGCTGGGAGGCCGTATGGGGGCGGGTGGATTTTTCTGCGGCGAGCGGCGCCAAGGCTGGAGCTGGTTCCGGTAATGTGCCAGGCCCGTCGTAGTCGTTGTCGTCGTCGTGGCTCCAGTCCGTCAGCAGGGGGAGGCGGCCAACCCCCTGGAGTTGTTTGAAGTCTGCCTTCCTTGCTGCGAGCTCATATTTTGCTACCGGCCGTCGCATGAAGGGAAGAGTTCTGAAAAGGTCCAGCAGGGCTTGAATGCCTGGCAGCTAATTCAGCAACTTCTCAAACAGCATCCTGAGAGAGGCGCTGTCCTTGTGAAGGTAGAGAGCTAGAGAGCCGCAGGAACAGCGACGAGACAGGATTACGAGGAGCAGACCAGCTACATCTCCTTCCGATTGAGCTGCCAACTAGTGACGCCAACACCTGGGCTGAGCAACTCGGAGTGTCCGACAAAGATAGCTTGGAGCCGGCCAGGGGTCTGAGGTGGCCCCGCACTGGTTCTGGCCAGCAGGAAGGGCGGGACGGTTTTTGCCTTTTTCTGCATCTCGGGGCCGTTTTCGGTCCCCAGGACCGTCAGAAACGGATCCGGGGCGAAAAACTGCACCAGACTCAGGGAGAGTTCCCGGGACCGGTTTTGAGCGGATTTGGTTTCATCCCCCCTTCCTGGCCGATTTTGTGGGGCCCCAACAAGTTCAGACGCATTGGCCGCCTCCAAGAGACAGCCGCTCATGTTCGCAAGCGTTAGCGCACCAGGCTAGACGGCATTGAGGTCGCTATTGAGGGTGAAGGCAGAGTCTTGAGAGAAGCCGAACAGACAAACGAACGAGGTCAGGCTCGTGGAGCAGCATCGTGACATCAGGACGCAGCTTTTCCTTGTCGCACCCTGAGGAGTGAGGCCAGACTGGCCACGAGAATCGGTTCTTGTGCCGATGGGGGGTCAGCGCCGAGGGACCTCTCAGATAGGTTGATGCGGACTCCGTGCCACCAGGGCTTGTTTAAGTTTCGAAGATCCCTGTCTCCAGTCGCATACACCAGACACCAGCTGCAGATCAGCTTCAGGAGAAGGTTTCGAAGTGTCGCTGCTCCGCTGATGTTCAGCCGTGCCGGGGCAGGTCCGAACAAAGTCGTCCTATGTGTTCTTCCATTCTCCTCGTTGCGTGATATCCGGCCCCGAACCAGACGTTCGGGTCGGTTTTGGAGGTCGCCGTGCACAAATCGGGGCAAGGTTTCGATCAAGGAGCAGCATGCCCCTTGTCCAGCCCCCCTCCCGCTCTGCGATGCAGACAACGCTCATAGTGAACCACGTGGCGACAGGGAGTGGTCAAGTTCTGTCCAACACGGGTAGTCATGTTTTCTATCAGGGGCCGATTATCACGCAACCATATCCCCCCGTTCCTTCCCCTACCTCTTCCTACGCCAAGGTGGAAGGTTGGAGCCTAGGCGGCCTGTATGGTTTTTGACTGCCAGGCAGGACGGGATATCCAGCAGCTGCCCGCGGCAAACCCCGCCACCGTGCCTGTGCAACAGCGCAGCAGGAAGGAGGCTGAGTGCAGGAACTGCGCAATTCCGACGATGGTTTGAATTGAGACGGGTCGTGAATTCAACCTCGTCTTCGACTGCGCGGTAGGAAGGAGGTCGAGTTCACACCCCGCTGCAATTCCACGACCCGTCTGAACTTGGACGGGTCGTGAACTCGACCTCGTCTTCGTCCGCGATAGGAAGGAAGTCGTTTTCACGCCCCGCTGCCTTTCAGCGAGTGGTTTGGATTGGAACGGGTCGTGAACCCGACCTCGTCTCCGCCCGCGTGGTATGCAGGAGGTCGAGTTCACGCCCCGCTGCAGCTTGTTGGTTTGTCTGAACTGCTGCGGGTCGTGATCTCGACCTCGGCGTGGTCCGCGCGGTAGGGGGGGAGGTCGAATTCACGCTCCGCGGCAGTTCAGCGAGTGGTTTGAACTGAGGTCGGTCGTGATCTCGAACTTGCGTTCGCCCGCGCGGTAGAGAGGATGAGAGGGAGGAAGGGGAGGAGGAGGAGGAGGAGGAGGAGGAGGAGGAGCCCTCTTGTTGGGGTCTCCTGGGAACCTCCTGAAGGGCCTCTTAGCGGCCTTTAGGTGGCCTCCTGGGGCATCTTGCAGGCCGATTGGGTCGTCTGAGAAGGTCTCTTGGCCTGTCTGACGCCTTCGGAGGCCGTCTTGCGGGCTTCCCTAGGCCATCTTGGTGCCCTCTTGAAGCGTCTAAGGGCCGTCGTGGGACCCTCTTGGGAGGCTCTTGGGCGATCTTGGAGTCCTCTTGGGCCGACTCAAGGCTCTCTTGGGGGCCTCATGGGTTGTCTTGGAGCTATCATGCAGGCCTTTTGGGCCGTCTTGTGCGGTCGGAAGCACAAGCAGTCGAGAACCATCATGTTTCAACACCGGAGGAAACTCAATGGTTGTTGCTTCCTCGGGCTCTCTTGGAGGGCCTCTTCGAGTCCTCTTGGTCCGTCTTGGGAGCCTCTTGACCCGTCCTGAGGCCAGCTTCAGAACTTCTTGAGCCGTCGTGAACGATCTGGGGCCGTGTTGGTGCCGTCTTGGCTGTCTGAGCAGCCGTCCTGGGGGCCATGCTGGCAGTTTGCGGGCAAAAAATCGCCGGGGAGCAGTTTTAGAAGGGGCGATGTTTTAGTCACGCGTGCATCGACTTGGACGCCCGAGATGGGTACGGAAAAAATGGGTACAATACCAAACAACAAATGTTGTCCAAAACCGACAGCGGCCGCCGTTGGGCAGGCGGCTTGCTGTCTTCGAAAAGCAACGTCCGCGGCGGTGCGGGCAGCGAGTCCTGTTCAAAATGAGCAGGAACTGCTGTTGAGCATGGTACCCCTTCTTTCCGTACCCATTTCGACCGTCCCCAATCGAGAGGGGGGGGCGGGGGCGGCCCCAGAAGTTTAAAGAAATCTCCCAGACAGCAGCAAGCATTCGAGCACGCCCACTGGGCACAAGGCCTCGTGGCGGACAAATGCTGCCATGACTGGTGTTTGAGCTCGAGGCTCCACCCTTGCGTCCCCCCCAAGAGGGGGGTGCCCAGACGGCGTTGCGGGGCATGACGTCTCCTTCTGCCGAGTCGATCCGATCCCTCTTCCCTCTTCCTACCGCCTCCGCCCTCCTCATGTCCCTCTCCAGTGTTTGTTTCCCATCGTGAAGGCACGCCTCGCGGTGTCCACGGCGACGCTTCGCCATGCCTCGCTTGGCGATGATGTGGGCTGCTCGATCCTTGTGGAGGCCGTCCTCCATCTGCACCGTGATAGGTGTATATAAATAGTATCAATGGATATGGGTGTGTATGCATGTATATATGTACGTACGTATGCATGTATGTGTGTATGTATGGGTGTGTGCATGTATGCATGGATGTGTGTGTATGTATGTATATAGTATGTATGTATGTATGTATGAGTGTATGTATGTATGTATGCATGCATGCATGCATGCATGCATGCATGCATGTGTGTGAACGTTTGTGTGTATGGATGCATGTATGTAAGTAGGTGGGTGTGTTGGTATGGTCGTGTGTAAGTGTGTATGTATGTGTGTGTGTGGATGTATGGATGTGTATACATGTGCATGCGCATGTATGTAAGCATACATGTATGCATGCATGTATATGAGTGTGTAGGTGTGTTTATATGCATATGTATGTGGATGTTTGTGCATGCATGTGTGTGCATGGAAGTATGTATGAATGTACGGATGCATGCATGTAAAGAGATTATGGATGTACATGTGCGTATGCATGTATGTATGCGTGCTTGTATGTATGCGTGTGTGCGTGTATGCATGGTTGTATGGGTGTACGTGCGCGCATGCATGCATGCATGTGTGTACTCATGTGTGTATACATAGATGCACGTATGTATGTATGGATGTGCATGTGTGTGTATGCATGTATGCCTGCCTGTCTGTCTGTCTGTCTGTATGTATATATGTATGTATGTATGTATGTGTGTGAGTGTGGATGTGCAGGTATGTATGTGTGTGTGTGTGCGAGCAGATGTGTATGCAAGTATGTATGTATGTATATGTATGTATGTATGTGGCTAGGCATGCGTATGCATGTACGTGTATGTATGCTTGTATGTATGGATGTCGATGTGTGTATGTACGTATGCATGTATGTATGTATGCATGTGTATGGTTTCATGCATGTATGTGATGAGTGCATGTGTGTACGTTTGTGTGTTTGTATGTTTGCATGTTTGTAGGTCGGTAGGTAGGTAGGTCGGCATGCATGCCATACACATGTATGTAGGCACCCTCCTCGTGCCCCCCTCGTCGTCCTGGATAGAGCCGGGAGGTCATAGACTTCATGCGCAACCCGGGGCGCTACCGCAAGATGGGAGCCCAGTGCCCCCGAGGCCTGGGGAGGGCCTTATAATGGGATGGGAGCGGAGGAGGAGAAGGAGGAGGAGGAGGACGAGGACGAGGAGGAGGAGGAGGAGGGGAAGGGAGGAGGAGGAGGAGGAGGAGGAAGAGGAGAGGAGGAGGGGGGGGAGGAGGAGGAGGAGGGAAGGAGTTGCAAGGAGGATGCAGGAGGACGAAGAGGAGGAAGGAAAGGGAGGAAGAGGAGGAGGAGGAGGAGGAAGAGGAGGAGGAGGAGCAAAAGCTGCAAGGAGGATGCAGGAGGACGAGGAAAGGGGTAAGTGGAGGAGGAGGACGAGGAGGAGGAAGAGTTGCAAGGAGAGGCAGGAGGACGAGGAGAGGGAGAGGAGGAGAAGGAGGAGGACGAGGAGGAGGAGGAGGAGGAGGAGGAGGAGGAGGAGGGGGAGGACGAGGAGAAGGAAGAGTTGCACGGAGGATGCAGGAGGACGAGCGAGGAGGAGGAGGAGGAGGAGGAGGAGGAGGAGGAGGAGGAGGAATGGGAAGAAGGGGGGAGGGAGGGTGAGGAGGAGGAGGAGGAGGAGGAGGAAGGAGGAAGTTGCAAGGTGGATGCAGGAGGACGAGGGGAGGAGGAGGAGGAGGAGGAGGAGGAGGAGGAGGAGGAGGAGGAGGAGAAGGAGGAGGAGGGGGAGGGGGAGGGGGAGATGGAGTGGGAGGAGGAGTGGGAGGAGGGGAAGAGAGGAGACGGCTTTGCGAGAGAGGGAGAGAGAAAGAAAGAAAGAAAGGAAGAAAGAGAAAGAGAAAGAGAGAGCGGCTCCCCATCCTCCCCCCTCCCCTCGAGTGGGCCGGCTCCGTTCGCCGCCTGCTGCGCCCGCTGCCGCGCTGCCGGACGGACGACGGGGGCCCGCCCTGACCGCCGTTGAAAATGGGATAGAGGCCAAGCAGGCGAGCAAAAATGTCGAGGAGCCTCCCATGGCAGTGCGTCTGCTCGACGCCTCCTGGTGCCACGTAAGACTCCGAGGGGGTGGCCAGCCACCCGCGATTGCCTCGTGCGCCCTTCGGCGAGGTGCACGACCCCCCGGCAGGCGGCCACTGGCCCAGGCCTGCACCCTCCAGGGCACGCAATTCCCCAAGCTTGGCATCGCTCGGACGTGTGCATTTTTCCTTCGGCGAGGACCATCGAGGAGCATCCTTGATCATTTGGCGGCAAAAACCACGTACGAAACCGACAAAAAACACAGGGAATGGACGTCCGAGCGATGGCGAGACGTCTGGAAGGAGGAGCAGGAGCAGGAGGAGCAGCAGGTTTTTGGGGACGCAGCTCGGACGAAGCCGATCGCCCGTCGGCAGACTGCGCGGGCACCGGGCAAGGCAAGCACTGCGAGGAGCTGTGTACAGGACAGGGCGAGTGCGCACAGCGGAGACAGCGAGACAGCAACAAGGGTGGTCCCGGTGCGACGCTGGCGACAAAGACGGGAGTCACGCTCATGAGACAAATGTACCTGAAGGGGCGGAGTTATCTTCGGCCCCCGATGGTGATCGTTTTCTTATTGTAGTGGCCTCTGGCCAGTGTCGCCGACCCAGGGCGCTCCCGATGCTGATGGGAATAAATGACCGTGAATGCTGAAGATATAGCTCTCGTTCGAGACATCCTCATAAGATGATCATGTGGAAATCGGTTGCGAAACACACACGCCGCTCCCTGCAGAGCGCTCAAGTCCACGGCTCCCGAGCACTGAATGGCGTCGGGAATGGCGTCCCCCCCCTTGCAGAGTGAACTCCCCCCCCCGGCTCCCGAGCTCTGAATGGCGTCGGGAATGGCGCCACCTCCCCCCCCATCCGTTGCAGAGCGAACCCCCCCCCGGCTCCCGAGCACTGAATGGCGTCGGGAATGGCGCCCCCCCCCCCCTCCCTTGCAGAGCGACCCCCCCCTGGCTCCCGAGCACTGAATGGCGTCGGGAATGGCGCCCCCCCCCTTGCAGAGCGAGCTCCCCCCCCCGACTCCCGAGCACTGCATGGCGTCGGGAATGGCGACCCCCCCCCCCTTGCAGAGCGAACCTCCCCCCCCCCGGCTCCCGAGCACTGAATGGCGTCGGGAATGGCGTCCCCCCCCGCCCCGTGCAGAGCGAACCCGCTCCCGAGCAGTGAATGGCGTCGGGAATGGCGACCCCCCCCCGCTTGCAGAGCGAAGCTTGAGCGAGCTCAAGTCCACGCTCTCAGAAACTCACACGCCGGATCGGCGGATTCATTGTTTTGCCGATCGGCGCGGGCCCTCGCACACACACCCCTCCCCCCCCATGGAATGGATCTTGGCTGTATTTGTTGCCCCTGTTTCGAGCAGGTGGAGCCCCTCCCCCAGAGGACACACGGTTGCAAACAGCCGCAGTAAAGAAAACGCCCACATGCGGCACGCAGACGAGACGGCCGCGGAACAGACCCAACCTCCGCACTGAGACGACGGGGAGAGGTAGGTACTTAGTTAAACTGTCTCTCCCCATGTCTCACTGCCAGAACGGCAGCTTCCGAGGCGCCATGTGCGCGCAAGGCGCCAGTGGGCTCCAACGCAGATCCAAGAAATCCGCGCGGAGCGCCAAAATGTTTATGCTTATACCATTTCTTCCAGACAAATCCGTTCCAGGGCGTTCCAGAACGTTCTCAGAGCGTTCCGGCACGGCCTGAGAAGGCTGCGGCGCCCGACGCATCCTCCAGAGCCGCCAGATCTCAGATAGTTTCGTGCTGTCCTCATCCAAATGTATCTTCGTCTTGGCTTCGCCCTAGAGCCCCATTCTTATGGTGTTCCAATCTACTTTAGCCTTGGTCACCAGAAAGAATTTCGAGCACCAGGAATGTACAGAAACTGTAGGGTTTTCACGCGTCGGGCCCTGGGAGGCGATACTCGTTCGACACTGTTTCGGTACTTCCGGGTGCTCGAAATTATTTCTGGGATGTGGTCTTTAAGCACGATGGGAGCAACATGACCCCATTCCCCTTCCCCGATGGCGAGTCTGTCGCAGTGATCTCCGGTGGGCTGGGGGCAACCTCTCGGGCCGAGCGTGAAGTCGGGCATGCCCCTCTGCAGGGGGAATCTGACAAAATAGCCTAACAATATTCCGGGGACGATTTTTTCCTCCTGTGTTGGACAATGTTTGAATTGTTGTTTGGCGATAGTTTGTTTCCTTCTTCGTCCGAATTCCGCCTGCAGGGGGGACGTGCTCGACCTAAGGCGAGCGCGTGGCTCCTCCACGACCAGGAGGAGTATGACAAAATAGCAAAAAAATGTCCGGGGGCGATTTGTCCATTCTGTTGTTGGCCACTTTTGCACATGTTTGGGCGCGTCCTCCTTTCGCGTCCGAAGTCCGCCCTGTATGGGGGCACGTGCCCGATTTACGCCGATGTTTGCATTGCTTGTTGGCGAGTTCTCCTTTCTCGTCCGAGATCCGCCCTGTAAGGGGCACGTGCCCGATTCAAGCCGATGTTTGCATTGTTTAGTTGGTGATTTGTCTCTACTGTTTTTGTTTACCACTTTTTGAATTTTTGTTGAGCGATTTTCCGCACATGTTTGGGCGAGTCCTCCTTTCTCGTCCGAAGTACGCCCTGTATGGGGCAGGTGCCCGATTCAGGCCGGTGTTTGCATTGTTTTGTTGGCGATTCGCCTCTCCTGTTTTTGGCAACTTTTTGACTTCTGAATTGTTTGACCATTTTTTGCATCTTTGTTTGGCGATGTTTCCCCGTTCGCGGACGAGGTCCGCCCTGCCGAGGGGCACCCACCTGACCTCCGCCGCGCGCGCGACTATCCTCCACGACGGGCGGGCACTCGCCATATCGCTCCCGGGTCGGGGGCCGGCCGAGTGCCACGGTGGGGGGGGCGGCCCGGCGCGCCCGCGCACCCTGTTGGGCGTGCCCGGGATCGGGGCGACCCCCGGCGCCGCCCCTGGCGCGCTCCGCGCGCCAGGGCGGGGGGTCCAGCGCCAATGCGAGAAATCCGCGCGGACCTCCGAGTTTTTATGTTTGTGTCACTTCTTGTTCCCCTAAAGAAGTTATGGGAGGTTTCTTTGGTCTTCTGGGACCGCCCCCCGCCCCCCCCCCCACCCACTCGATTCGGGACGATCTCGGAATGGGTACGGAAGGCAAGAAAGGGCACCATGCCCAACAGCAATTCCTGTTCATTTTGAGCAGGACTCGCTGTCCGCGCCGCCGCGGCCTGTGTCCATCTGAGACAGAAGGCCGCCTGCCCAACAGCGGCCGTTGTTGCTTTGGGGCAACATTTGTTGTTGGGCATTGTACCCATTTCTGTTCCGTACCCATTTCGGGCGTCCAAATGGTGCGCCATCGCACCCGGGGGGCGTGCCCAGAAGGCCTTCGCCTGCGGGGGCCGAAGGAGGTGCCCTCCCCAGACACGGTCGCGTCGCAAAACAAAACAAAAAAAACAGGACGGGAGGTTTTGGGCTGTTTTCGGCCCCGGGGGGCCCTCGCCTGGCCTCGGGGCCGTCCAAAAGCGACTCGGGACGAGGAACCAGTCCCGGGGGAAAGGGTCGGGACTTCCGGGGACGCCGTCTCGAAAGAATCATGGGACGTCGCATGTTTGGATCTCTTCCTCGGCGGAAGGCCAGTGAAAGGCGGCGGAAGTACAAGATGCCGCCCCCAAGAGATGTACACGTTTTTAGGGGTTCAGGGTTTCCAGAATCCGCCGCTCGACTCAACTGCTCAAATCCCACGATCGACTGAGACCTGCCACGAGTCCTGCTGTGCGCGACTGTCACGCCGCCTCCTTTTGGCGCTCTGTGGCCTTCTGCGGTCCGCATCTGTCATACGCGGCCACTGCCAGATGCGATGCCAGGCCGAGGGGCGCTGTCCGAACGGGCTATGCTGGCATCGGCATCCACGTGCCTTCAACGCACGATCGAAGAGACCGACTCCGAAGCAGGGGTCGACAGTCCAGGGAGCTGTGGTGCGCATGTGTTGGGTTCTCTCGCGCGCGAGCCGCTCACGCCTACGTCCACGCGCTGGCGCACGATTGCGCTCAATGCGCGCACGAAGTTCATCTGCAAGAGGGACGGGGACGGGAGGAGGGGGGAGCAGGAGCGGAAACCAAGAGACGGGGGAGCCTTCCAAGAATCCAACAGCATGTGCATGCTCTTGCTGCTCGTCTCTCGACCCCTTGCCCGGGATCGGCTTTTCACCCTGAGTCGTTGCTTGACGGCCCCGGGGCTTGGTCAGGGCCCACGGGTGGCCGAACATGGCGAAGCACCTCCCTTCGTGATGTTCTTCGCAACGCGAGGAGGTCTGGGTACCCGATTCCTCCTGGTCCGATGTTATACCGGTTCGTCTCAGCGAGGGACCCTCCCCCAGCGGAGGAGGAGGAGGAGGAGGGAGGAGGGAGGAGGAGGAGGAGGAGGAGGAGGAGGAGGAGGAGGAGGAAGAGGAGGAGGAGGAGGAGGGGGAGGAGGAGGGGGAGGAGGAGAAGGAGGAGGAGGAGGAGGAGGACCCTCCCCCAGCGGAGAGGCATCTTGCTCTCCGGGCCGCCCGGCTGCGGGAAGACGCTCCTGGCGCGCGCGGCCGCCCACGAGGCCGGCCGGCTGCCGTCGGCGTTCTCGTCGTCCTCGTCGGCGACGTCGACGTCCTCGTCGACGATGTCGTCGTCGATGCCGCCGCCGCCGACATCGTCGTCGATGTGCCCGTCGTTGTCTTCGGTGTCGTCTTCGTCAACGACGTTTTCGTCGGCGTCGTTGACGACGTTGTCCCCGTCGATGGTATCGTCATCGGTGTTTTGTCATCGTAGATGTCGTCGATGTCGTCGCCATCATGGTCATCGTCGTCCTCGTCGCCGCAGCTGTGGCCGTCACCGTCTTCGTCGTCGCGCTCGTCGTCGCCTTTATCCTCGTGTTCGCCGTCGTCGTCGTCGACGACCTCGATGCTGGAGGAGGAGGAGAAGGAGGAGGAAGAGGGGGAGGGAGGAGGAGAGCGCAAGGACCCGGATCACCGACGCCGCGCCGTCTCACCACGCGCACCCTGTGGGCCCGCCCTGCAGCCCGAGCAGTCTTCGGGCGGCCCCGGGGCCCGGCGAGGCCCTCCGGAGACCAGGAACTGCCAAACACTGCCCTGCGGTCTGCTTGACGCCAAAGGGGGTCCAGCAGAGAGGGGGTTGTGCAATCGATCTGTGGGGTTGCATTGGATTTGGGGCGTGCAACACATTCTGGTGCGCAAATTCATTGCTGGATTTTCGCGTGCTACACATTCGATTTATGTCGGGCGTGTCCCCCTACAGGGGGATTTTCGACGAAAACTTAAAAATACTTCAAACATACCCCCAAAATGTCAAAAAATTGTCCAAAAATAGTCTCCAGACTATTTTTGGACTATGTTTTCATTATTTTGGGGGTATTTTTTATTTTTCGTCGAAAGTCCCCCTGTAGGGGGTCAGGCCCGACTTAACATTAGATGCAATACAATGCAATACATGTCTCCGTCGCAACACATTTGCAATACCCGTGCCCCAAACCTATGGCACCACCCCCTTTCAGGTGGATTCCCGTCTGGGTCAACCAGATGCGGGGCCAGTGCGGGGGCAGCGGCGGCCAGGGGAGGCGGCCGCCGACAGCAGCGGGAGAGGGCGAGGAGGCGGCGGCCGCAAGAGGGGGGCTTTGGGGGCGGGGCTGGAGGGGAGGCGAGGGCGAGAGGCCACCGTGCTGCGGGGCGGGGGCGGGGAGCCTTCGATTCTGGAGGTGGCGCGCTTGTACTCGTTGTGTTTGCTCATTGTTTTGCCGATCGGCGAGGGCCCTCGCACCCCCCCCCCACACACACACACCCCTCCATGGAGTAGGTCTCGGCTTTTTCGGGCGCCTCTTCCGAGCAGGCGGGGTCTCCCCCACAGGACGCCCTGTTGCAAGCAGTCGCGTGAAGCAGAGGTCCGGAGCCAGACCCCCCCCTTCCCCCCCCCCTTCCGCCAAATGTCGAGACGCCAAATGAGAAAACGCTCACCTTTTTTGTCGCGGCGAGAGGCCCGACGGGCGGCGGGCGCGACCGGCTCCGCCCCGGAGCTCTCGCCGTGAAAGAGCTCTTGGGCGCGAGCTCACGGGGGGGGGGGGGCGCGATACATGAGAGAGGGGGGGAGGAGGAGGAGGAGGAGGAGGAGGAGGAGGAGGAGGAGGAGGAGGAGGAGGAGGAGGAGGAGGAGGAGTACCTTCTCGGGCTAGGCCCCCCTCTGGGGCCCGGAAGGGCCCCTCCAGGGGCCCGAAGGGGCCCCCTCTCTGCAGCCCTCGCTGCCACTCCATGGATCGCCCCCCCCCCACCCCCACCCACCCAGTTGTGCGCGCTCGATGCACACGGCTCGAGGCTCGAGGTCTGAGGCTCGAGGGAGGTTCGAGGCTCGAGGGCCCGCGGAGGCGCCCGAAGGGCGGGCCCACGCCGTGCCCCGCCTCGAGGGCGGCGGGGGCGCGGCATGGTGCTCAGGCCGCCGAGCGGGTCGCCGCCCCGCCCCGATCCCCTCGAGCCTCACGAGCCTCGATCCCCTCGAGCCCTCGAGCCTCGATCCCTCGAGCACTCGAGCCTCGAGCCTCGAGCACTCGAGCCTCGAGCCTCGAGCCTCGAGCCGTGCGCCTCTTCACGGCGAGGGACCTGCGCCCCGCCAGGCCCGCATGAGCTTCCTCCAGTGCTCTGCCTCCGACTTCGTGGAGGTGTTCGTGGGCCGCGGCGCGGCCCGCGTGCGCGAGCTCTTCCGATCCGCGCACGCCAGGGCGCCGCGGACCTCCAAAGACGACGACGTCCACGACGACGTGGACACACGTCGGCGGAGACGTCGCCGACGACGACGGCGTCGAAGACGACCACGGCGACAACGACGACGACGACGACGACGACGACGACGACGACGGCGGCGGCGACGACGACGTTGTCGACGTCTTGTATTGGATTGGGTTTGCTCGCTTCTTGATATTGTCCTCGCTACGGCTGGGCGCGGCTCGGAGAGCTTGCCCGGACTGGCCCTGGGAGGTCGGTCGAGGAGGTGATCGAGGAGATAGGTGTTTTTGGCGACGTTTGATTGGACTCAGGCTTCTGGAAGAGGTGGAGGAGGAGGAGGACAGTCAAGACGCCGAGATAAGAACCACTTCGGGCTCAGGAGGAGCTCAGGTTTTCGGCGGCTCCTCAGATCCAGGTCGGGGAAGATGTTCGTGGCCTATGTTCGCCGTGGTCAGAAGAGCCCCTTCGTTCCTTATTCAGCGCGCCTCCATGTCATTCGCAAGTTGGGGGGGGCTCCAAGGGTGGGCCCCTGTTGTCACGGCTAGCCTCGCCTCGAGACCCTAGCTGGGACGTGCCCCAGGGGAAGTCTGGGGGGCCGATGTTGGCGGCCCTCCACAACGATGGCAACCCCGCCCTGGTCCTGTCCAGGCCCGCGGAGGCGGACGAGGGGAGGGGGTGAGGATGAGGAGGAGGAGGAGGAGGAGGGGGAGGAGCAGGAGAGGAAGAGGCAGCAGGAGGAGGTGGAGGAGGAGAGGGAGGAGGAGAGGGAGGAGGAGGAGGAGGAGGAGGAGGAGGAGGAGGAAGACAGTGGGAGGAGGGATGGCGTGGGGGAGGAGCGAGGGGGGAGGACACATGAGGGCCGGCCAGAGGCGGAGGCGGAGGAAGAGCGGGAGGAGGGGAAGGGGGCGAGGGTCAGCGTCAAGCGGACACTGTCTTGGGCCAACCGGCAGCCCGCAGTGCGCAGGCCTGGCGGCGCGTCAGTCGTTTCGTCGCTCGGGGCGAGCGCCTCTTCGCCACGGGGTCTGCTGTGCTGCATGCTGGGGACCATCATGAGGGCCGTTGTGTCTCCTCCTTCCTCCTCCTCCTCCTCCTCATCCTCCTCCTTCTCCTCCTCCTCATCATCAGAATAATCATCATCATCATCATCATCATCATCATCATCATCATCATCATCATCATCATCATCATCATCATCATCATCATCATCATTATCATCATCATCATCATCATCTTTTTTCCCCCCCCCCTCTTCCTCCTGCCCCTCCTCCTCCTCCTCCTCCTCCTCCTCCTTCATTCCTTTTCCTTGTTAACTCCTATCTGTCGCACCCCGAGGCCGAACGAAAGGGCGGGGCAGGCGTTTCGCCTGAGACGTGTTTGCAAATTGGCAACAGCTTCACACGTGGAGGGCGGGTCGCTTTGAAAATGTGGTTCTCGCCTTAGCGCCTGTTCAAAACTGCAAGAGCTTCACGGAGTGAGGGCGGCTCGTTTTCAAATTGTAAATATCGCTTTAGCGCCGCGCACATTCGTTCTGACATGTGCAGGAGCTTCACGGGTTGAGGGCGGATCGTTTTCAAATTGTGGTTACCGCCTGAGCGCCGCGCACACTTGCCTCAATGTGTTGCAAGAGCTTCACGGATTGAGGGCGGTTCTTTTTTAGCATGTGGTTCTCGCCCCAGCCCTACACGCATTCTCTTCAACAGTACCACAAGAGCTTCACGGATTGAGGGCGGGCCGTTTTCAAATCGTGGTTCTCGCTTTAGCGCCTCGCACATTCGCCTCAACATGTTGCAAGAGCTTCACGGATTGAGGGCGGGTCGTGTTCAAAATGTGAGTATGGCTTTGGCGCCGCGTACATTAATTGTTTGATGCAAGAGCTTCACGGATTGATGGTGGTTCCTTTTCAACACTTTATTTTCGCCTTAGCACCGCGCGCATTCGGTTAACACATTTGCAAGAGAGCCAGTCGTTCTCATGGTTGACTACCAGCAGATGTTTCGAACAATCCAGAAGTGTCAGGGCGTTACGTTGACTCGCGGTGTTGAAGTCCCAGTTTTGGCGTTCTGGCACGATTCAGCGTTGAATTCCTGATAATGGTGTTCTGGCGCGCTCCAAGATGCTCACACGGCTGTCCCCCAACGGAACAATTCTCGTAGTGGAAATGGCCTTTTTGTAGGGGCCTTTGAAGAGGAATATTGGAGAGAGGGTGTATTCCAACGTCGTTGACGAGTCTTGGGTTTACACTGATCCTCCTCCTCCTCCCCCTTCTCCTCCTCTTCCTTCTCCTCCACCTCCTCCACCTCCTCCTCCTATTCCTCCTCCTCCCCCTCCTGCAATCGGCGGCGAGCGAGCGGGGGAAGTGAGAGGGAGAAGGCCATATCCGAAGGCGGCGGGGCTTCTCAGAAGCGCTCTGGCCTTCTGAGAGGTTTTCTGTATGTGTTCGGGGAAGGCTTTGAGAACTGTTCAGAAGGCATGGGGACTTATGAGCCTTCTGAGAAGGCCCGCCCCTTCTCACTTCCCCCCACCCCCAGGTTCGCCGCCGATTCATGATGCGGACCGCTCTGCTGCCACAGCCGGGGCCCTCTCCTCCTCCTCCTCCTCCTCCTCCTCCTCCTCCTCCTCTCTCCTCCTCCTCCTCCTCCTCCTCCTCCTCCTCCTCCTCCTCCTACTCCTCCTTCCCTCCCCCTCCCTCCCTCCTTCTCCTTCCTCCTCCTCTTCCTCCTCCCCTGCTCTTGCTCCTCCTTCTCCTCCTCCTCCTCCTCTCCTCCTCCTCCTCCTCTCCCTCCTGCTCCTCCTCCTGCCCCTTCAAGATGCGGACCGCTCTGCTGCCACAGCCGGGGACCTCTCCTCCTCCTCCTCCTCCTCCTCCTCCCTCCTCCTCCTTCTCCTCCTCCTCCTCCTCATCATCATCATCATACTGGCACCACCAGGCGTGCCCGCAGGGCTGGCCTCACAGCGTAAGGTCTGTCCAGAGTTGCCACACGGTGTGCTCCTCCTTCTCCTCCTGCAGTCGAAACCGATGGTAAGGATGATCAACTTCCCAATGTAGCCCTCGGGAGGGTATTGTGTCCTCTCGCGTGTCCTGTCCAATCACGCCCGACTGTACCTTGCATCTTTGCCTCCTCGGTCATCTTCGGGCCATCCCCAACTACTTTCGATGGCCAGCCCCGCTCGACGAGCCTCGGCACAAGCGTCTACGGCCCCGGCATCCATACCGCGCACCCTTACTGTCAGCTATGACTGTAGCCTCGCCATGGACGACAGGGCCCGAGAGGAACGAGTTTGGGATCCCAGGGCTCTCCCCAGGGACCAGCTCGTCCCTCCGCCCGTGTCGGCCTTGGACGACTCCGGGGCCCGTGGAAGGCCCCGGGGCCCGGACAGAACCGCAAAAGATTGCACAGGACTGGGACTCCAACCCAGACATGCGACGTCTTGACTTTTTCAGGACGGCGCCCCTGGAGGTCCCGACCCTTTCCCCGGGACCGATGTTTCGTCCCGGGTCGTTTTTGGACGGCCCCGAGGCCCGGCGAGGGCCCCCCCCGCGGGGGGCCGAAGATACCCCCAAAACCTCCCGCCCTGATTTTCTTTTACGGCGCGCTCGTGCTTGGGACTCCTCCTCCTCCATGGACCCCGAGCCTCCTCGGCTCGGGGGCCAGAAGCCGCCCCCCGGACCTGGCCTGGGACGCGCTCCTGGCACGGAGTCCCAGGCCGCACCCGGCCGTGGAACGGTGCCTGCTCTGCTGAGTATATCGTTTCACCGATCCCCATCCCCAGCGGCGTGGCCTGGGCCCCCTGGATGGGGATACAGGTCCTTCCCTTCGGGCCTCGAGGGGTGGGTGCATCCCCCACTGGGGTGGTAGCTTGGTGGGGGTCTCGAAGGGGATGGGGACGGGGGTGGGGCTTAGTGGGCCCTGGAAACGACAGGGCCGTTTTCTTACCGGTTCCGTTCTGCCGTTTTTGTTGCCAGTTCCGACGCCGTTTTTTTACCGGTTCCGTCGCCGTTGTTTGACAGGTTCTGGCTCCGGTTCCAATCTTGGAGCCGTTTTTTGCCGTTTCCGGTCGCCGTTTTTTTGCCGTTTCCATTTTCAAGGGACATTTTTTGGGGAACGGTAAAAAAACGGCCCTGCCGTTTCCAGGGCCCACAAAGAGGTGGGGAGTGTTTAAGCGATACCGATCTGCGGCGAGGGCACGCTTCCTCAACACGCTGCGAGGAGGCCTCGCGGGCGAAGCGGCTGCTGGACGGGGGGCGATCTGGGGCTGCCCGTCCCCCATTTGTGGGGCTCTTCCTCCTCCTCCTCCTCCTCCTCCTCCTCCTCCTCCTCCTCCTCCTCCTCCTCCTCCCTCCTCCTCCTCCTCCTCCTCCTCCTCCTCCTCCTCCTCCTCCTCCTCTTCCTCCGTATAGTCCGTCGTCTACGTCCACGAGAAGCCCGCGAGCAACGTTTGAGAGAACGGTTGGATCACGTGTCGTGCCGTCGGTTCTGGCCCACCGCGCTGCGGCGCGACACGCTGTCCACTTCCCGGTCCCGAGGCGTCAACGTCCCGAGCTTTTCGGAGCCTCCCGCCCGGCGGAGCGGAGAGACACGCTGTCCGCTCGCAGGGCAGAAGGGCAGAGCGTGCCGCCGGGGCCGCCGCGGCGACAGGCGAAGCAAACGTTCCCGACCGCAGACCCTTGGGCGAAACGCGGGTGGTCATTTTTGATTCATTGGTTTGCCGATCGGCGCGGGCCCTCGCACCCCCCCCTTCCCCCCCTCCCCTTCCCCAATGAAGTAGACCTTCGCTGCTGCTGGCGCCTGTCTCAAGCAGGTGGGGAGCCCCTCCCCCACGGGACGCACTGCTGCAGACGGCCGCAGGAAGCAGAGGTCCAGGGCCAGAGCTCCCCTCCCCTCCCCTTCCCCCCCCCCCTTCCGCCCACTGTCGAAACGCCGACTCGGCAAACGCCCACCTGTCAGGGGAGAAGGGGGTGGGGAGCTCCTGGCCGTAAGTCGGGCGTGTCCCCCTACAGGCGGATTTTCGACGAAAAGTCAAGAATACACCAAAAATAGTCACAAAATTGTCCAAACATATTCTGGGGACTATTGTTTTAGTATTGTTTTCCCTTTTGGGTGTATGTTTTGAATATGTGTGATCTCTCGTCGAAAATCCCCCTGTAGGGGGACAGGCCCGACCTAATCCTGGCCGCGGCCCGCCGAGGCGCCGTGCATCCTCTTCTTCGACGAGCTGGACGCCCTCGCAAAGGCCCGCTCGGGCGGCCCGCACGGCAACGACGAGCGCGAGCAGACGCTGAACCAGCTGCTCACCGAGATGGACGGTTTCGACAGCTGCCAGGGCCCCCTCCTCCTTCTCCTCCTCCTCCTCCTCCTCCCTCTCCTCCTCCTCCTCCTCCTTCTCCTCCTCCTCCTACTACTCCTCCTCCTCCTCCTCCTCCTCATCCTCCCTCCACTCCTCCTCCTCCTCCTCTCCCTCCTCCTCCTCCTCCTCCTCTCCCCCTATTCTCTTGGAGGTCGGCAGGGGCAACGGCGGGGGGGGATATAGGCACAGGGGCGGGGGGCGCATCGACCCCCAATCGCCCCACTGATCGCCGATAATAACACCCGATGGCCCCAGCCTGCCCGGAGAGGTGCGGACTCACGAGCTGGGGCCCATCGCCGATCTATCGGCGCTGTCTCGCCGATTCCAGGTCGATGCATCCCCCCCTATGCCAGCCCCCCCCCTATCGTTGCCCCTCAGGTTTCTGTCGACGCGGGGCGCTCCACGCGGGTTTCTTGGATCCGCGCTGGAGCCCCCCCGGCGGCGTCTCCGGCGCCGAGGGAGGGGGCCTCAGCGCAGATCCAAGAAATCCGCGCGGAGCGCCAAAAGTTTATGGGTATGGCTTGTTTTGTTTTCTAGAGTTGGAAGGCAAAGACTATCTGCTTCTGAAAGACCTATATATGGGGCCTACGCCGAATACTGCTCCCACGTTCTGGCCACAAGCGTCTATAGACACTTTGACGTCGCTATGGGTATAACTGTATATATTATATGTACGTGTATATATAGCTATATATATAGGTATATAGTTATGTATGTACAAATGTACCTATATGTGTATATAGCAGTCGTGTGGATACGTCTGTAGACGACGTGGCCATTGCGTTCATCGCAGTACAAGGTCGGAGATAGGATAGACCCGTCTACGCGAAGCTCCTCCTCCTAGAGCGCAGGTCCCACAGAGTATTCCAAGCTAGAAGGCTCTCATACTTAGTGGGCCCCGGAAACGGCAGGGCTGTGTTGTCACCGTTTCCATAAAAAAGTGTCTCTTGAAAATGGTAACGGCAAGGAAAACGGCGACCGGAAACGGCAACAAGAACGGCTCCAGGATTGGAGCCCGAGCCGGAGCCGGTGCAAACACGGCGACGGGGCCGGTAAAACAACGGCGTCGGAAGCGGCCACAAATCGGCAGAGCGAAGCCGGCAACAAAAAACATGAAGTGCTCGATCACTGGGTGCTCACGGGCGTGAGAGGCAGAGGTTTTGCTTCCAGGCCCACGAAGTGCCCACAGGCCCACAGAGTGCGAACGAAGTCGCTTCCAGGGCCCACTCGGCGCTCACGGGCGTGAGAGGCAGAAGTTTTCTTCCAGGCCCACGAAGTGCCCACAGGCCCGCAGAGTGCGAACAAAAAGTCGCTTCCAGGGCCGCGAGGGGGGGCGCCGGGGCCCTCGATCGCCCGGCCCCGCAGCCGCTCCGCCCGAGGCTCCCTCCGCGTGGCCTGGGGAATCGCGCTCTCGCCTCGATGCCGGCGGCTTCCTGCTCCCAGGCGCGATCGCGCGTCGCAACAAAAAAATCCGGGCGGGAGGTCTGGGGCCATCTTCGGCCCCGGGGGGAGCCCTCGCCGGGCCTCGGGGCCGCCAAAAACCGACTCATAGGACGAAAGACCGGTCCCGGGGAAAGGGTCGGGACTTCCGGGGGCGCCGTCCCAACAAAAGTCAGTATACGTCGCATGTCTGGGTTGGGTCCGGACGGCCACGACCCCTGGTACAAACAGACTCGTGTGCCTCTATGGCCGTGCTCCTCGCTCCCGTCCCGGCACGATTTCACAAGCGGGCTCCTCGACCCGCCTCTTCGCTGTTGCTGCTCCTGGAGCGCTCTGAGTTCATAGGCTCTCTGGAGTTTGCGGAAGTTCGAGACTGCCGTACTGCCGTCCCAGATATCCGGCTGCTCATTTTTTTTTGATGCATGGGCCCCGAAGGTCTGGACCACTTCCTCGGGGCCGGTGTTTCGTCCTGAGCTGTTTTTTTTTCTGACGCTGCTGGGCGACCCAGCGAGGGCCCCCAGAGGCCGAAAATCGCCCAAAACCCCCCCCGCTGCAGGTTCTGCTGGAGCTTCGGGCCTCTGGGTTCCGTGGTGCGGGACGGGCAAATGACCACAGCCACTGCTTTTCTTTTGTTGCGCCGCCGTCCAGCCGGCCGACAAAGAAGCAGTGGCTGTGGTCCTTTCCCTGGTGCCAAGCGCAACGAAAATGACCACAACCACTGCTTTGTTCGGGCCGGACGAAAGGGGGGGATTGGGAAAGGGGGGGTACGAAATTTGTTGCATGCAGCTGGTTTCGGCCCCACCGAGGGGCCCATTCCTCGATACGTAGCCGCCTCCGGCGCCGGGAGGCGCTGGGAAAATCAGCTACGTGAGCTGATTCTCCCCCCCCCCCCTTTGCTATCCCCCCCTTTCGCCCGACCCGCTTTGTTTCTGCGGGCTGGAAGGCGGCAACAAAGGAAAAGCGGTGGCGGCGGTCGTTGTCGCGCCCCGTACGTGGGCCTTCGACGGCTCCCGGCAGCTCTCGGGGGCATACCTTGCCGCCCTGGCGGGGGGGGGGGGCTCTCCCGCCGCGCCGCGCCTCGCCGCGAGCAGCACTCCCGGGGGATGGCCCGACCGCCCGCGGGCGCGGCGAGCAAGCACCCGGGCGGGCAGGGAGCCTCGGAGAGGATCCCGCTATAATTCAGGAGAGGGAAAAACACACAGACACTATTAATCGTCGCCTCCCAGGAAAATATGGGAAAATATGGGAAGTGGGGGGGGGGGGGGGGGGGGCAAAAACTCAGAAAATATGGGAAAATATGGGGAATCTGGTTATGTGTGTCTATTTGTTTGTTTGCCCCAGCTCCCCTTCAATAACATAGGGCGTCTCGTCCTGGAGATCGCCCTCGCCGCCCGGCCGGAGCCGCCCCGATCGCTATTTTCTCCCCATATCCTAAGATGGGGTTCTTGTTATTACTTGGACGCCTCCTACTCCTCCTCCTTCCTCCTCTTTCCTCCTCCCCTCCTCATACTCAGATTTACTCATACTCAGACTTACTCATACTCAGAACTTTCTCATACACAGACCTACTCATACCCAGACTTACTCATACACAGACTTACTCATACACAGACTTACTCATACTCAGGCATACTCATACTCAGACCTACTCATACTCAGACTTACTCAACACACATCAGATTTGGAGGATGTCTCAAGCGGGGCGCTGGTTTCAGCACCCCTAAGGGGAGCCGCCAGGGGTGTTTGCACGGGCTCGTTCGCGGCCATTTTGTGGGGATGTCTCAGGCGGTTTGCTTGTTTCTGGGCTCAACATCCTTCGCTTGGAGAGCAGATTGTGAGGATGTCTCAGGCGGGGCGCTGGTTTCAGCACCCCTAAGGGGAGCCGCCAGGGGTGGTTGCACGGGCTCGTTCGCGGCCATTTTGTGGGGATGTCTCAGGCGGTTTGCTTGTTTCTGGGCCCAACATCCTTCGCTTTCGGAGCAGATTTGGAGGATGTCTCGAGCGAGGCGCTCATTTTCACCCCCCAGGTGGGCCAGATTTTGAGGATGTCTCGATCGGTTTGCTTGTTTTGGTGGCCAGGCTCGTGGGCGCAGATTCTTCTCAGGATGCCACAGGAGGCTCCAACAGGCTCCAGGAGGCCCCAGGAGACCACATGAGGTCCCAGGAGGCATCAGGAGGCCACAGAAAGATTCAAGAGGCCACAGGATGTCCCAAGAGGCTCCAGGAGGCCCCAGGAAGCTCCAGAAGGCCTCCGGAAACCACAGGTGGCCCCAGGAGGCAACAGGAAGTGCCAGGAGGCCTCGGAAGGCAACAGGAGGCCCCGAGAGGCCCCAGGAGCAGGAGGCCTCAGAAGGCAACAGGAGTGGCTCCAATCCCATGTGTTTTACGTATGCTCCTATCGATTGGGCCTCACCTGGAGCACGATTCTTTGATGTTCTACGTATGTTTCTATATATTGTCCTTCTCCTGTGTAAGCAATCCTACTTGTTTTACTTTTGTTCCTATATATTGGGCCTCTCCTGGGGCACGAGTCCTTGGTGTTTTACGTGTGTTCCTGTAGACCCATATACAATATTACCTTTAAAAAAGGATGCACATATGGGGAGCTCCACGCAGTGAGTAATTTTTTTTTGGGGGGGGGGGAGCGGGTCCTGAGGGCAGCAGGTCCTGAGGTATGCCGCCGCCTGCGTGGAGTCGGGCCCGTCCCTCTCCAGGAGGGACACTCAAAACGAATCCAAAAACCGTGTGGGGACTATTTTTTGCTGCATGTCTTGACCAGTTGGGAGTATTGGTGGAGTCTTTTCTCATCAGTTTGTTGTCGAAAGTCCCCTCTGTAGGGGCACACGCCCGACTGAACGCCTGCGGGCCCTCGGCCCCGGGGGCTGTCAGAGAACGGCCCGGGGCTGAGGGCCTCGCCCCGGAAGGGAGAGCCCCGGGGTCCATGGGCCCGCTCCCCTCGGGGCCCGCCTCCCCCCTGCCGGCTCGGAGTCCTGGTCAGAGCTCCGGGCCTCCCAGATTGGGGTAGCCCCAGCTGGTGGGGTCGGAGGACCGCGTCGCATCGCCTGCGCATCGGCGATGCAGCTCGCTGTGGAGCCCGAGTTTCTCCACGCCGACGGCGCCGATGCATCGCCGATGCATCGGCGAAGCGGCGTGATCCTACGACCCCATCAACTCGGACCCCATTTGGGAGGCTTCCAAGAGCTCACTCCGAGAGAGGTCCAGGGAGCAGGAGTAACAATATGTGCCCACTCGCCATCGCTCGGACTCCTCCTCCTCCTCCTCCTCCTCCTCCTCCTCCTCCTCCTCCTCCTCCTCCTCCTCCTCCTCCTCCTCCTCCTCCTCCTCCTCTGGTGTTCCCCCAGAGATCCTATAGACCTCTCATCTTGGAAAGTCGTGACGGGTCGGCTTCGCTCGAGACACTTGCGTATCTGCAGCGCAGGAACGCGTGGTTCGTGACTCCCTACACTTGTTTCTGCACGCGTTCGTTGTCACAAGCATGGATGCCCTACCAAGCGGTCAACCTGCAATACCGTTAGCCGGCGGCGAGCGAGGGGGGGGAAGTGAGATGGGGCGGGCCTTCTCAGAAACCTCGGAAAGCCCCCGGCCTTCTGAGAAGTGTTCGAAACCTTCCCCGAAGATTCAGAAACTGTGCCAGCAGGCCCGAGGCCTTCTGAGGAGTCCCGCCGCCGTTGAGAAGGCCTTCTCCTTCTCACCTGCCCCCCTCGCTCGCCGCCGAGTTAGCCTTATGTCGGGCGTGTCCCCCTACAGGGGGATTCTCGACGAAAAATGACAAAGCCAAAAATACCCCAAAAAGGTAAACAAATATTCAAGAAATAGTCCCCAGACTATTGTTGGACTATTTTTTGATTATTTTTGTGGTATTTTTTTTTATTTTTCGTTGAAAATCCCCCTGTAGGGGGGGACAGGCCCGACCTAAAGTTGGCCCAGCCCTGGAGGCGAGCGCTCCGTGCTCGTCATCGCTGCCACCAACCGCCCCGACGTGCTCGACGCGGCGCTGCTGCGGCCCGGGCGCTTCGATCGGCACGTGCGGGTGCCGCCGCTGGACCAGCGGGGGCGCCGGGCCGTGCTGGAGGCGCCGGGGGGGCGCCGGGCATCGGCCTCCGGGCCGTTGGGCATCGCTCGGACGTGTGCGTGTTTTCTTGGCGGCGCGCAGAGGGGGGTAGGGGGAGGGGGAAGGCTTCTTAGAAGCACCCCTGCTTCTTAGGAGGTGCGGGCCTTCTCTGTAGATGTAAGGCCGGCGCCTTCTAAGAAGCAGCCTCCTTCTAAGAAGCCTCCTGGCCGCTCGGCATCGCTCGGACGGGTGCGTGTTTTCTTTTCTGCCCTCGGCAGCGCTCGGGCGTGTGCATGTTTTCTCGGCGGGGACCGTCGAGGGCCATCCTGGACCATCGAGCAAAAAAAAAAAAAAACACGCACGAGACCGACGAATGCACGGGGAATGGACGTCCGAGCGACGACAAGCTGCCAAGGAAGACAACAAGAAGCAGGACGGGAGGCTCGGGGATATATTCGGCCCCAGGGGGGCCCTCGCCGGGCCTCGGGACCGTCAAGCAACGCCTCGGGAGGAAAAGCCGGTCCCAAGGAAGGGGTCGGGATTTCCAGGGCCGCCGTCCTGAGAAAGTCAAGACGTCGCATGTCTGGGGGGTCAGCTGGCAAAGGCGACGCGCACGAAGCCGAAGGATGCCACGGGGAGCGAGCGCCCGAGCGAGCGCCCGAGCGACGGCAAGCTCGTCGTGGAGGGTCTCTGGCCCCTCTCGGCTTCCAGGGGCCCTCGCCAGGCCCTCGGGCCGCAGACGGGCGAACGGCGTCGTACGCAGCGGCGCGGTAGGCTTCGGCGTTGTAGGTTGCGCTGGTCCGTCGCCAAAGCAGTTACAGGAAAGCGCGGCTCGTGCTCACCTACGATTTTCGCTGTTCTGTTGTCGCTCTATACATTCGCAGACTGGAGACATGTAGGAACGCGTGGTTCGTGATGTCCTACATGGATTTCTGCGCGCGGTCGGTGCCGGAAAAAACAAAAAACACAATCCTTGCCACGCCGATGCCAATCTCAGGCACAGGCCGGCAGAAGCTGAGGGGGCCCTGCAGAACGGCACCTAGAGGCCACGGTGATGCCACTCTCAGGGACGAGGATATGATCCAGGGTGGTGGTGGGAGGGATCGTGGGAGGGATCCAGGAGGAGATGTTCTGGGCGGACCTCGGCAGGTGCACGCGCGCGCCCGCGGGGTGCCGCTGGAGCGCCACGAGGACCTGGAGGGGATCGCGCGGGCGAGCGCCGGCTTCTCCGGGGCGGAGCTGGCGAACGTCATCAACGAGGCGGCCCTGCTGGCCGCGAGGGGTGGGGGCGAGGTGCAGGCGGTGAGGGCCACTCACCTGGAGGAGGCCCTGGACAAGGTTCGGGCGCAGTCGGACCCAGCCTTCCTCACGTCGCGAGCAGGAAGAACACCACACGGGATGCTTTTCCTCCCTCTCGGCATGAGTCGAAGAGGAACAAGCGCCATGAACAGAAACTGCTGGCGTTCCGCGCGGAGTTCTTGGATCCGCGCAAGGCCCCCCCGGCGGCGCCTCCGGCACCGTCCCTGGCGCGCTCCGCGCACCAGGGTGGGGGTCCAGCGCAGATCCAAGAAATCCGCGCGGAGCGCCACAAGTTACCTAACAGCGAAGACTGAAAGGTTTCTAGTAGTGTCAAAAAGAGGGCATCATGACTCCCGAGGGGGGTCTGGGCGGGATCCGGACAGGGTGCCCCGGGAAACCGGGGATTCTTTCTTTAGCCAACAGTAACGCACTTCGTGGTCTTCGTGTTCCCAGAGCTCCATTCCTGGGCATGATTTTGAATGCCCGGAGCCAACTGTAGGCCATTTCGTGGTCTTCGAGTTCCCGGAACTCCATTCTTGGGCACGATTTTGAATGGCGGGAGCCAACAGTAGGCCACTTCGTGGTCTTCGAGTTCCCAGAACTCCATTCCTGGGCATGATTTTGAATGCCCGGAGCCAACTGTAGGCCACTTCGTGTTCTTCGGGTTCCCAGAACTCCGTTGCCGGGCCACATTTTGAATGCTGAGGCAGGCTGATGCTGAGGCTGAGGCAGGCTGAGGCTGAGGCAGGCTGAGGCTGAGGCCGAGGCTGAAGGCAGACTGAGGCTGAGGCTGAAGCAGGCTGAGGCTGAGGCTGAGGCAGGCTGAGGCTGAGGCTGAGGCAGGCTGATGCTGAGGCAGGCTGAGGCTGAGGCTGAGGCTGATGCAGGCTGAGGCTGAGGCAGGCTGAGGCTGAGGCCGAGGCTGAAGGCAGACTGAGGCTGAGGCTGAAGCAGGCTGAGGCTGAGGCTGAGGCTGAGGCTGAGGCAGGCTGAGGCTGAGGCTGAGGCAGGCTGAGGCTGAGGCTGAGGCTGATGCAGGCTGAGGCTGAGGCAGGCTGAGGCTGAGGCCGAGGCTGAAGGCAGACTGAGGCTGAGGCTGAAGCAGGCTGAGGCTGAGGCAGAGGCAGGCTGAGGCTGAGGCTGAGGCAGGCTGATGCTGAGGCAGGCTGAGGCTGAGGCTGAGGCTGATGCAGGCTGAGGCTGAGGCAGGCTGAGGCTGAGGCCGAGCTGCTGAGGCTGAGGCTGAGGCTGAGGCTGAGGCAGGCTGAGGCTGAGGCTGAGGCAGGCTGAGGCTGCTGAGGCAGGCTGAGGCTGAGGCTGAGGCTGATGCAGGCTGAGGCTGAGGCAGGCTGAGGCTGAGGCCGAGGCTGAAGGCAGACTGAGGCTGAGGCTGAAGCAGGCTGAGGCTGAGGCCGAGGCAGGCTGAGGCTGAGGCTGAGGCAGGCTGATGCTGAGGCAGGCTGAGGCTGAGGCTGAGGCTGATGCAGGCTGAGGCTGAGGCAGGCTGAGGCTGAGGCCGAGGCTGAAGGCAGACTGAGGCTGAGGCTGAAGCAGGCTGAGGCTGAGGCTGAGGCTGGCTGAGGCTGAGGCTGAGGCTGAGGCAGGCTGATGCTGAGGCAGGCTGAGGCTGAGGCTGAGGCTGAGGCTGATGCAGGCGGAGGCTGAGGCAGGCTGAGGCTGAGGCCGAGGCTGAAGGCAGACTGAGGCTGAGGCTGAAGCAGGTTGAGGCTGAGGCAGGCTGAGGCTGAGGCAGGCTGAGGCTGAGGCAGGCTGATGCTGAGGCAGGCTGAGGCTGACGCTGAGGCTGAGACAGGCTCAGGCTGAGGCAGGCTGAGGCTGAGGCCGAGGCTGCAGGCAGGCTGAGGCTGAGGCTGAAGCGACCGAGGCTGAAGCAGGCTGAGGCAGGCTGAGGCTGAGGCTGAGGCTGAGGCAGGCTGATGCTGAGGCAGGCAGAGGCTGAGGCTGAGACTGATGCAGGCTAAGGCTGAGGCAGGCTGAGGCCGAGGCCGAGGCCGACGGCAGACTGAGGCTGAGGCTGAAGCAGGCTGAGGCAGAGGCAGGCTGAGGCTGAGGCTGAGGCTGAGGCTGAGGCTAAGGCTGAGGCAGGCTGAGGCTGAGGCCGAGGCTGAAGGCAGACTGATGCTGAGGCTGAAGCAGGCTGAGGTTGAGGCTGAGGCTGAGGCTGAGGCTGAGGCTGAGGCAGGCTGAGGCTGAGGCAGGCTGAGGCTGAGGCTGAGGCAGGCTGAGGCTGAGGCAGGCTGAGGCTGAGGCTGAGGCAGGCTGAGGCTGAGGCTGTGACTGCGACTGCCGTTGCCACTGCGACTGTCATCGCGAATGCGACTACGACTGCAAGAACAGCAGAATTCTACAACTGGATTCTCATCTGAATCTTAAGGGGAATGCTTTCAGATATGCTCCTACACATCGCTGTTAGGTTGCTTTGCCAGGATAATGTATGCTTATGGCGTTGTTTCTTCTTCGAATGGGGGGGGGCCTTGCGGAGGGGCCCACGCTGCAGGAAACTCACGCCATCGGCGGCCTCAGAAGGTGTCCCCGGCCCCGGGTGTTCCCATCGTTCCGGGGGCCGCAGGCTTCGGCCCGGGCCACCTCGGGGCCGCCGGGCCCTCCCTGGCATTCCTGCGGGGCGCCCTGGGCCAGGGCCCCTCTGCCAGCCTCCGAGAGGTGCGCGACGCCCAGGCTGGCCCTTACCAGGACGCGCAGTCCGAAGACAACCCCATGTCGAGCGTGGCACAGGTGGTTCAGATGATGGCCGCCGCCGCCGCCGCTGAAGCTCGCCATCGACAGGCCTAGCCGTCGGTCTGGCCAAGGCGTCGCGGGACAGGCCGGTTGCTGCGGCCGGGGGGCGCGGGAAGAAGAGGACGGCGCAGGCGCGATGCTCCTTGGTCGGGCTGTCCAGTCGATGGGGCGACGTCACGCACTGTGGTCTGTGCAGGAGCGTGAGGTGGCACAGTCTGGTCGGATGTGCGCCACGCATTACAAAAAACAGCATTCCTTCTACGACTGCTGCTGGTCTGCATCCGATCTGTATCCCCCACTGCGGTTCCTTCTTTTCCGCGTCATAGTTTTCCCTCTCACCTTCCTCCCCTCCTCAGGCCCTCTCGGATCCCCGCCTGGTTTTCGTTACCACCGCCATGGTGAAAAAGCTTGCCAGTGTCGCGAGCATTGGCACGCGGCACACTGCAGCCCTGGCCTGAGAGGCAGCCGTGAGAGTTGGCGCTGCTTCTCGGGCCACAGCTTGCACCTACTCTCACCTCCGACGCCGCGATCCGTTCACAGCGCGGACCCCCAGAGACCCGGACCCGGTTCCCAAGACCAGCTTCTCAGCCCGAGCCTCCTGATGGAGCGGGCCGAGGGCCCCATGAGAGCCCCCAGGAGGCTGACAACGGCAAGACATGTACCGCCGTTGTCCGTTGTTGTTCGGAGAAGAGAAACGGCATAAACATAAACAGTTGGCTTTCCGTGCGGATTTCTTGGATCCGCGCTGGGCCCCCTCCCTGGCGGCGCGTCCGGCGCCGACCCCTGGCGCGCTCCGCGCGCCAGGGAGGGGGGGGGGGGCTTCAGCGCAGGTCCAAAAAATCCGCGCGGAGCGCCAAAAGTTTATGTTTATGCAGTTTTTTCTCCCTCCCCTCTCGACCTCCTCTCTCTTTCTCGCCTCCTCCTCCTCCTCCTCCTCCTCCTCCTCTTCCTCCTCCTCCTCCTTCTCCTCCTCTTCCTCCTGCTCATACGTGTCCCTCTTCCTTCGTCCTCTCTTACATCTCCCCCCTCTTGCCCCCCTGCAACGTGTACGTATTTGTCCCCCCCCCCCCCCTCTTCTAGGTGAACAAAAAGTGGCATAAACATAACAACTCGGAGGTCCGCGCGGATTTCTCGGATCGGCGCTGGACCCCCCTCCCTGGCGCGCGGAGCGCGCCAGGGGCGGCGCCGGAGGCGCCGCCGGGGGGCCCCAGCGCCGATCCGAGAAATCCGCCCGGACCATTGAGTTGTTATGTTTATGTCACTTGTTGTTCCCCTTTTTGTTCCCCTGCAACGTGTACGTATTTGTCCCCCCCCCCCTCCTCGTGATCATCCGATGTCCGTCGCCCTTCTGGCTCAAGCACGAGGGCGCTGCCTCGCGGGCTTCGTCTGGGGCTGCGGCCGAGGGGGCCGGGCCGAGGCAGCCTGCCGCGGGTCCCTCTCGGCGCGCGCCCTCTGCCGGCAGCCCAGAAGGCAGAGGCCATGGACATCGGGAGGGGAAAAGAACACACAGACACAATGAATCGTCGATTCCCCAGAAAATATATTCTAAAAAAAATAATTGCTTAAGACATTAAAAAATTGGAAGTGGGGGGAAGACAAAAGCCCAGAAAATACGGGAACGTATGGGGAGTCCTTTTTCATTTGTGTCTCTGTTCATTTGTGTGTCCCAGGGCCCCTTCAGGACACCTCTTTTCGGAACCCGCACCGAGGCTCGGCGTCATGGCGGGCGGTGCTGCTTCCGGGCGTTGGGCGGCATGCGGTTCGTGTGGGCCGCGCAACTTGGCATCCATCGACAGTGGCGCTCGCACGGCGCAAGTCTTGCAGCATCCTTGTTACTCTTAGCATTATTCATATTATTAAAACGTTTACGGATAACAATGGTAATAATTCTAGTAATAAGAGTACGAAGAAGGATAATAATAGTAATGATACCAATGATAATGATAATAATGATAATATTGATAATAATGATAATAAGGATAATGATAATGATAGATAATAATAGTAATAATAATTATAATAATAAGACTAATACAAATCAGCTCCAACCAACGAGCGGGTGACCCGCCAGGCGTGGCAAGGGCAAGGATCGATCGAACGGGGAGGGCCGGGCTCGGGCCCTGGGCAGGCGGACCTGCTGCAAAGCAGCGAGGATGTTGTGGGCACAGACAAGATCAGGAGGGGACAAAACACACACACACACACACACACAGACACCATTAATCGTCGATTCCTAAGAAACTATACGAAAATATGCGGGGGAAGACAAAAACCCAGAAAATACCGGAAAGTATGGGGGATATGTTTATTTGTGTGTATTTATTTGTGTGTCCCAGGGCCCCTTCACAAGACCGCTACGGAGGTGGGGTTTGGAACGCAGCCGCGCCGACCTCACGAGGCTGAAGAGCCCAGAGGAGAAAACGAGAAACGACCCCCCCCTTCGGACGACAAGCTGTGCAGCTTGTCGTCCAGCTGTGTCGCCGTGCTGCTCTGGGTAGGCTCACCTGGGCGATCTTCCGGATCTGCTGATCAGTTGGGCACTAATGGCAGTCGTTTGCAGCAGTGGAGGTAGGGGGAAGGAAAAAACAAAAAAAAAAAATTCGGACGACGAGCTGCAGCAACAGATTGGCCAGATCGAACAGCACATTCCCCCAGCTAGCTCGATGCCATCATATGAGCTGGTCCTTGGATGGCAGCAGAGTGCGATTGCCGCGAAGCAGAAGCTCGCAGCGCTTGAGGAGAAGGCCGCAGCACACCTTCCCCAGCACAACCAAGTACAACGTGCTGCGGTTCGAGTCCTGAGGGCCAAACACAGACCCGAGAAAGTCAATAAGCAGTTGGCTTACAACGAGAAATACACCAACCAGATGGATGCCCTCCTTGTGCAGACGGAATCGGACCACGAGCAGGTCACCATCAAGTTCACCGAGGCTGAGCAGCAGCTCGAACAGGAGTAAAACCAGCTAACTCGCGCACGGGCCACCTCAGCCAGTCGCACATTGGAGAGCAGGCATCGTTCAAGTTATCGGTTGTGAGGTTGGCAGCTCGAGCACCCGATGAAAAAGTTCGCCAGTCTTTGGTTGCGGCAGCGGTCACCCTCACTAGAACTAGCCAGTCGGCAGCAGACGAGACGGACACCGACGGCGACAATGCCGAGCGTCCTGCATCATCCTACTCCAAGCCCGACACCGCCAAGCAGCATCTCGAGGATTGGGAATACTTCTTTCCAGCTGGGCATCGCGACGCCTGACAGGCCTGGTGGCAGGTCCCCCTCCAGGAGTCAGGGGCGACCGCTCCGCCACCACGGGCCGCCAAGCGTGCAGCTGCACCTCCTGCGCCACGCCGTGGAAGTCAGGAGCGCCCCGCCCGCGCCACAGAGGGAGGAGCAGGAGCAGGCAAGGAAGAGGAGCAGTCCTAGCTCCTGAAGTGGGCCCTGCCGAACGCGATGATTCCAGATCGCCCCGCGGCAACGCAGCCGCCGACGGCGAGCGGTCGGATGGGCAGCGACAAATGTCCGGCGCCCGCTGGCCCTCGCACGTGGAAGCCGGGCGATCAGCGCTGCGAGGCATAAATTAGCATGGGCGCCCCAAACGACTTCGACAGTTACGAAGTTCAGAATGCTAACAACGGTATCGCTTTCAAGCACGGGACATGTTTTCGGCGGGGGTAAACGCGACACTGGTAGGATTATTCGTTGGACCATCCTGGGGCACTATCAAGCGGCGTCTTGGACAACTTCAAGACGCAAATATTTCAGTGGTGTTCGCGCGGGATTTGCATTCCTGCTGGGGATCCCTGGGGGCCGCGTCAGCTTGGGCGCTGAAGAGCGGCGGGGAATCGTTCCGGGCGCCGAACTGAAATGCCCCAGCCTGCGCTGCCCCCCCCCCCCCGCCAATCGCAACGACCTCGGGGGCGAAGGCATTGCTGCCAGCGCGGGCACCTCCACTCGCGAGAAGCTCGAGGACCATCCTGGACCATCGAGCAAAAAAAGCACGCACGAAGCCAAAACATGCACGCGACATAGACGCCCGAGCGATGGCAAGCGTCGAGGATCTGCAAGTTGGGACCGCCCAGCTGTCCTGCCGGGCACCCCCCTCCCGGGCAGGGCACTCCTGCGGGGCGGAGGCCCCGGGGGGCACGTGGACCCCGCGCGCCGCGGTCCACGGCGAGCTCCCGGAGGGCCTCTCCATTGCCAGAGATCCCGGAGCGCATGGCAACACATTATATGAGTTCGAACACGCAAAATTTGAGCACCGAAACGCAGCAAACAGCTAATTTGAGCACCGAAACGCCGCAAACGGCACACTTGAGCACCAAAACGCCGCAAACAGCAAATTTGAGCACCGAAACGCCACAAACAGCAAAGCGACATATTTTCGGAGGTGGCTTTGAAAATACTATGCAAAGTCATGGCGACAGCTTGTTTTCAGAGGCCCTGCGCGCTCAGGCCCCGGCGCCGACGTCCCCCCCCACCCCCCTCAGCGGAACATCCATGACTGAAGCCATCGACCACGTCATCGCTGGGTCGTAGTTGGCTGAATTTAGCAACCAGCGCCGAGACGGACTTGCATGGGCACGCGGGGCCGCGCGCGCTCGTTCACTTGTTCGCACTGGCTTGGCAGCGAGCACGCATCAGGTTCGCACCTTGCCAATCGGGACTGCGCCGCCGCTGCCGAGCGGTGCCGTCGTCAGGCTCGCCGGGGCGGAACTGGAGCAGGCGAGGAACCTCTACTTTGAGGAGGTGCTCGAGGTCGAAATCCCGGCTCCGCCTTCGGAGCCCCACACGGAAGACGACGCGGTCGCGCTCGGACAGTGCACAGGCGCGGATTCCCGGGGGGGCCCCAACTGGAGCGACAGGAGAAGCAAAGGCTGAGGGAGTAGCTCGATGTGTGGCACCGCCGTCAGGAGGGACGCATCGAGCAGCTGTCGCGCGAGAAAACGGCGCTGGATGAGGAGTGGTCTCGCCATCGCCGGTCTCACCAGCCGAAGGCCTCTGAGACAGAGACGGTGCCTGTTGCCAAGTGGATTCGGTGGAATCGGTGGAGCCAGCAGACCGACAATCCAGAACAGCCCGAGGCGAGTTCGGCAAGAGCGACGCCGTCCCCTTCGGTGCAACGTCTGACGAGGGAGGAGTAGCAGAGGCTGATCTCCCCAGTTCGGCGTGTCCGCCACCCGCTGAGGTCGGCCAAGCAGGCGACGGCGTCGACGGAGAAAGAAGAAGAAGAAGAAGAAGAAGAAGAAGGAGCAGGAGAAGGAGAAGGACAAGGAGAAGAAGAAGTTGCAGGAGAAGGAGAAGAAGAAGGACAAGCACAAGAGCAAGAAGTTCCCGCAGCAGGAGTCCAGGGACTGGCCAGCCTCTTTGGCGGGCTCGTAGGAGGCGCGAGTGGGACGGCAACAATCTCAGCCGCTGATGCCTCACCACCCGCCGCCGGCGCCGCCGAAGACATCCAAGGCGCTGGAAGAGGAGCGGGTTCTATCTCGATGGGGATCGGTCCCCCCACTGTTGCAGAAGCGCCGTGAAGGGCGAGGAGCCACCGACAGTGCCAAACTTCCCTTACCCGGACGGCTGCCCGAAGGTGCTCCCGCCGGGTCCTCGGGCCGACGGCTACGTTTCTCACGCTCTTCACGTGCATCTCCCCGACAGTGATCTGGGAGAGAGTGCGGAGGGGCAGTTCGGCGAGGACCAGGGCGGCCGTGAGGACCAGAGCGAGGTCCGTTGCAGCCCTGAGCAGTGCTACGGCTCGGGGTCCGTTGATCCGAGGCCCGAAAACCATCACTTCACTAATTTTGGGCCCCAGGGCCCACTGAGGCCCCAGGAACCCCAGATTAGTGAAGTAATGTTTTTTCCCACATACGGACCCTGAAATTCATCACTTCACTAAACCGAACCCAGGACGAAAATCAGGGGCCGAATTGCTGCTGTGATGCCACATCGGCCTCGTAGTTGATGGCGAGAAGGTGCCATTGACCGATTGGCAGCAGTACCAAGCAGTGTTCCGCTCCGAGGTGATGGACGACCCTGCAATCAAGGAAATGCTCAGAGGCCTCGCGCCCGATGAAGCGTCTTACGTCGCCCAGCACGCTCTGGCTGGGGTTGGTCGCAATGGTCAGTCATCTGCGCAATGGGTTGACCATGTATATACATAGTTTCCAAACATGCCAAGCAATATGTGGCGATTGCGTGGTCTGTGCCTGTGGCGGCGCGGCCACACAAGAATGGCAACTGATGGTGGTTGCATGGTCTGTGCCAGTGGCGGCACGGCCATTGTGCGTACAGTCTCTGCGTGGTCGGTGCCAGTGGTGGCACGACTTCAGCACGCGTATTTGTTTCTCTCGGCACGTTGGTACATCCATTCTTGTACTTCACCGTTTGCATCTGGGCTCCGCATAGTGCTCTTCTGCACTGCCGTGGGTTTGTACGAGAAGTGGACGGGAGAGACTCCTGAAGAATGACTTCTGAGTTTTGGGTCCCCGGGCGCTCCTGTCGCCGGCCGGACCCTGCAAGTGACAGCGCCGCTCCTCTTCCTCCTCCTCCTCCTCCTCCTCCTCCTCCTCCTCCTCCTCCTCCTCCTCCTCCTCCTCCTCCTCCTCCTCTTGCTCCTCCTCCTCCTGCTCTTCCTCCTCCTGCTCCTCCTCCTCCTCCTGCTCCTCCTCCTTCTCCTCCTCCTCCTCCTCATCATCATCATCCTCCCCCTGCCCCCCTTCGTCGAGTGTCTTCTGGGCCAAAATTCGAACCTCCGACGGCCGTTCGGAAGGATCCGAGCACCTCCGGCGCGCTCTCCTCGAGGCGATCCACGCTGGAAAGCATCCCGAAGGCGAAAGAGCGTCCAATTGCCAGCGAAGATTCCAGAAGACTTCCGACCTTGAGATCCCCTCTCCCCCTCCCTTTTTCCCTCCCTATTCCTCCCTCCCTCCCTCACCTCTTCTCCCCATTGTTCACGCCTCCTCTACCCTATCTCTCCCCTGCCACGCTCCCTCTCCTGGGGAAGGAGAGGAGGGGAGGGGAGAAGGAGGGGGGGAAAGAAGAGGAAGAGGAAAGGAAGAGAAGGGAGAGGTAGAGGAGGAGGGGAGGAAGGGGTGGAGGGCAAGCTAGGTGCGCTCGCGTCATATCTGACATCCTACCCCTCCCTCCCATCCCTTACCATGGCGTAGATCCCCTCTCTACTCGCACAGTCCGATGTCGAGCAGGGCAATGATCCCGAAAGGGTACACGATGCATTGTAGAGCACGGCATGGCATGGCGTAGAAGAGCACCGCAAAGCGTAGCATCAACCTAGCATTGCATTGCATGCCGTGGCATGGCACGGGAAATGACGCCAGCGCTGCAGCGGGAGCACGAGTCGGAACGAGCGGAAGCGCGGAAATGAGGCCAGCGCTGCAGCGGGAGCACGATTCGGAACGAGCGGAAGCACGGAAATGAGGCCAGCGCTGCAGCGGGAGCACGATTCGGAACGAGCGGGGCCCGAAAATGAGGCCGGCGCCTCAGCGAGAGCAGCATTTTGAAAACAAACGCAGGCGAAAACCCAACTCCAGGGAATCCAGTACGCGGGGGGGGCGAATTCTTTCAAACCGTCATCAGGGGAAGAGGGAGAGTAGTATTCAGATTGAGTAATTGTAGAGATGGGGGGATACTCTCCCCCCCTCCCTCCTCCACCGCTCCCCTGCCCTTGAATGGATGCAGCGCTAATCCAGACACCGATGATAATCAGCATATCATGGTTGATCAAATCAGGGTGAGAGGGCCGAACGGTCATTCACTGTCCCTGGCTGCGTGACTGAAGGGGGACTTCGCGACGCGGAATCTGCTTCTTGTTGTTGCGTTGCGTTGCGTTGCGTTGCGTTGCGTTACGTTGCGTTGCGTTGCGTTGCGTTGCGTTGTTGTTGTCGTCGTACCCCCCGCGGCCCGGCCCGCGACCCATCCGCGACCCATCCGTGACCCACGCGCGACCCACGCGCGACCCACCCGCGACCCAACCTGCGACTCACTCGCGACCCACCCGCAACCCACCCGCGACCCAACCCGCGACCCACTCGCGACCCAACCGCGACCCACCCCGCGACCCACCAGCGACCCACCCGCGACCCACCCCGCGACCCGCCAGCGACCCACCCGCGGCCCACTTGCGGCCAACCCGCGACCAACCCGCGACCCAGCCGCCACCCAGCCGCGACCCACCCCGCGACCCACCCGCGACCCGCCCACATTATTTTGACGAAAAAATCTACGCCTCCGGCGGGCTAGTTGTATAAGTTGTAGGAATTCGGCGCCTGCGGCGGGCTTCTTCGGTGTCTCGCAGATTGCCGACGTCTACGCCGCCCACCCGCGACCCACCAGCAACCCACCCACGACCCACCCACATTGCTTTGATGAAAAATCAGCGCCTGCGGTGGGCTCCTTCAGAGCCTCGCAGACTGCCAATGTCCCCGCCGCGCCCCATGCATAGGCTGCCCACACACCTACTACACGCCTACCATAAACCTACCATTGGCTGACCATAGCCTACGCATAGGCTGTGTATAGGTCGCAGTCGCTTTATGTGGGTGCATACAGTTGCCTATCATGGGCCTACCAGAACTTATCATAGGCCAACCGTAGACCAGTGCAGAGGCTATGCATAGGCCTACGCATAGGCCTACAGTAGACCTATGTTAGGCCCAAAGTAGGCATACGCAAAGCCTGTGCACAGGCCGATCATAGGCCTATGTATAGGGTATTACAGGGCCTATCCGGCGAAGCGCTGGTAGGTCTACGCATAGGCTACGCATAGGCCTACCTTAGGCCTACGCATAGCATGCGCATAGAGGATTCTTGTCCTAGCGGCGCCGCAAAGCCGCGCACCAAATGTCACTCTTGCTCAGGGCCACCCTTGATAGCTCGCGCTTCAAGGTCGAGCTCTTGAGGTGTCCGCAGCCGTTTTCGGCTCTGGAGCTCCGCGCTTGCCACCAAGCGGCAAACCGCAGACCCCCCTCACACGGCGAGGCTTTCGCAACGTAGATTCAGGACCAGGTTTTCATGCCGAGTCGATTTTCGCCAGGCCAGTCATCGTCCAAGACTTTCTGTTGTGGCTTTGTCACGACGCGATGGGGCTTGCCATTCGGGTCATAGCTCGGGTATCCGACTCGGGCACCGACGAAGCGCTCTCGGCGAGGCGCGGCTGCTGGAGAGCACCCCGAGGCGGCAAAGCTCTCAAGAGCCACCGAAGATCCCCAACAACTTCTCGCAGCGCGAGGGGGGTCTGCCAGGCGGGGCGAGGACGAGGCTAGATCCGTTCCAGCTCGTTCGGGAACGCTCTCAGTGCGTTCCAGAACGCTCTGAGGAGGCCGCGGCGCCCGAGACATGCTCCAGAGCCGGCCGGATCTCAGAGATTCTCGATTTACCCTCCCCCGATCCCAGGCATGCGACGCCCTGATTTTTCGGGACGGCGTCCCTGGAAGTCCCGACCCTTTCCCCGGGACCAGTTCTTCGTCCTGGGTAGTTTTTCGACGGCCCTGGGGCCTGGCGAGGGCCCGCCGGGGCCGAAAATGGGCAAGAACTTCCCGCCCTTTTTATGTTTTTTGTTGAGGAAAAACACATATACATAAAACAAATAGAAAAATTACAAACAGGAAAAAAACAAGGAAACAAAAAAAAAAAAAAAACACGCCGCGAGCACGTCT